TTCCCAAAACCCCTCCAGCTGCTGTGCCCGTCTCACCAACAAGGAAATCAAGGCACAGAAAAACTGAGGACAGGAAGTGACGGAGACGGCATTTGAACTCGGCTCTGCTGATCCCAGAGCTCAGACCCTTGGCCGCTGTCCTGTCCCCTGAACGCTGTTGCTTGAAGGAAGGTGTGGTGTGACTGCACGAGCCACCACCGAAACGACTCGCTATTGCACTAGTGTTGAGAGTCCATTTCTTGTAAGTCAGTTTGGAGTGCGATTCTCACCCTGGGTGCCCGTTGAAATCGCCTGGGTAGCTTTGAAAACCCTACTGATGTATAAAATTAAATGGCACCGATTAAATCCAAGTCCCTGTGGGTGGCGCCTGGGCTCCCCAGAGCTGAGAACCACTTCGATGGAATGACCTTTAGGATCCTTCCCGGGTTCCGGGTCCCGCGGCTTACGAAAGGTATGCTGCCATCAGGTGGCGGTCACCTGCCACAGCTCTGAGATCTCATGGTCATGCCTCAGCCTGGAGCGCCTGTGGTGAGAGAGAAGTGCTCTTGTCTTCTGTTGTACGCCCCAAATAAATCCCTTAATTAAACATATAAACTTGATAATAATTGACACTGATGTTAATGTTTTATGGGTCACTTCCAGTAGCAGTAAGTCAATATGGTGCAGTTGATGTTTATCTCGTTAATCCTTAGCTAATCTTTATCATGGAGACTTAAGGATTTGGAGAAAAAAATCTCTGTGTTTGCATTTCAGCGGTTAGACTTCTGACCATTGAAGTAGCCTGTGTTACTCGTGTCATCTGTACGATTTTTCCTTAAACCTCAGCTTTGCCAGGCACAAGGAGTGTGGGCTCAGTTTGACCATCTTGGCTCAAACCTCTGTTTAGCCTTGTCCATGTAGCAGAATTAGGAGTGTGAGAGACATTTATTTAGCATCTCATGGGTTTTTCCTGTCTGCACAGAGGTATGTTCCCAGGGGATTCCTTTTGGGACTCAGCAGCTGTCCCCAGAGGGAACAGCTGGCTGTTATAGGAAATACTGACATAGCACATGGGAATAGACAGCTAGGAAGATTTTAGGGAGTGGAGTTTAGAGTCTGTGGACCCGGGTCGAGTCCTATTCCATCACTCACTGTCTGTGTGGTCTTGGGCAAGTCACTAAAAGTTCAGAGCCTCAGTTTGCTTGTCTGTAAAATGGGGATTCTCACTGCAGGATGTTGTGGGATTAAAGAGAAGACAAATACCCTTTCATGATAAAAGCACCCAACAAACTAGGAATAGAAGGGAACTTCCTCAACCTGATAAAGGACATATATGAAAATCGCACAGCTAACAACAAACTTTATGGGACAAGAATGAATGCTTCCCCCCTCTCTGCAAGAACAGGAACAAGAAAAGGATGTCTGCTCTTGCCACTTCTATTTAACATTATATTGGAGTTTTAGCCAGAGCAATTAGGCAAGAAAAAGAAATAAAAGAGTGAGATTGGGAAGGAAGAAGTAAAACTATATCTATTTGCAGATGACATAATCCTGTATATAGTAAATCCTAAGAATCCACCAAAACTGTTAGAACTAATAGATAAGTTCAGCAAGATTGTAGGGTACAAGATCAATGTATAAAAATTAATCATATTTTACACATTAGCAATGAATAATCCGAAAATGAAATTAAGAAAACAGTTCCATTTATATTAGTATCAAAAAGAATAAAATACTTAGAAATAAATTTAATGTACGAAGTGTAAAATCTATACTCTGAAAACTATAAGACATTATTGAAATAAATGAACAGATCTAAATAAATGGAAAGATATCCTATGTTCATGGATTGGAAGATTTAATATTGTTGAGATGGTAATACTCCCCAAATTGATCTACAGATTCAGTGCAATCCCTATCAAAATTCCAGTGTGCTTTTTGAATAAATAGACAAGTTGATCTTAAAATTCATACTGAAATGCAAGAGACCCAGAAAAACCAAAATGACCTTAAAAATGAAAGTCAAAGTTGGAAAACTCACACTTCCCAATTTCAAAACTTACTACAAAGCTACAGTCATCGAGACAGTGTAGTAGTGGTATAAGTATGGATATATAGATCACTGGAATAGAATTAAGAATACAAAGTAAACCCTCACACTTACAACCAATTAATTTTGACTAGAATACCAAGACAATTCAATGGAGAAAGAACAGTCTTGCAACAAATGGTGCTGTGGCAATGGGTTAAACACATACAAAAGGATGAAGCCATCTACACCATACACATAAATCAACTGTAAATGGATAATTGATCTAAATAGAAAAGTGAATATTGCAAAACTCTTAGGAGGAAGAATAAGAGCGAATCTTCCTGATCTTGGGTTAGGCAAGGCTTTCTTAGATATGACACCAAAAAAACACAAGAAGCAAAATTAAAAAAAATAAGATGAATTGGACTTGATTAAAATTAAAAACTCATCTGCTTCTAAAAATGGGATGACAGAGGAAATAGACACAGAGGGAGAAAATATTTACAGATCAGATATCTGATAAGGGACTTGTGTGCAGGCTATATAAAGAACTCACAAATCAGTAATAAGAAGACATAACTCAAAAAGTGGGCAAAAGACCTGAATAGACATTTCTCCAAAGAAGATACACAAATGGCCAATAAGCACATGAAAAGATGCTCAGTATCATTAGTCATTAAGGAAAATGCCAGTTAAAACCACAATGAGATACCACGCCACACTGGCAAGGATGCCTATAATAAAAAAAGACAATGGCAAGTGTTGGGGAAGACGTGGAGGAACTGGAGTCCTCATACATTTGCTCGTGGAACATATGATGTTGCATCTGCCTTGGAAAACAGTCTAGCAGTTTCTCAGCAGGTTAAGCATGGAGCTGCCCTATGACCCAGCAATTCCACTCCTTGGTTTTATACCCAAGAGAAATGGAAACTTGCCCACACAAACTTGTACATGAATGTTCATAAATAGCCAAAAAGTGGCAACAAACCCAAATGTCCATCAACGGATGAATGGATAAATGAAATGTGTCATATCCATATAATGGAATATTATTCAGCCATCATGAATTATTGATGCATGCTACAACATGGACGGTCTTTGAAAACATTATGCTGAGTGAAAGAAGCCCATCACTAAAAACCATATATGGGATGATTCCATTTGTATGAAATGCCCAGACTAGGGGAGTCTATACAGACAGAAAATAAGTTAGTTGTTGCTTAGGGCCGGGAGGGTTGGGGGAAATGGGGAGCAACTGCTAATAGGTGGGGCATTTCTTTTTTGGGGTGATAAAAATATTCTAAAATTAATTATGGTGATGATCACATAACCTTGTGACTATCTTGTCACAAAGAATATACCAAGAAAATCCTAAAATCCATTGAATTGTATACTTTAAATGGATTAATTGTATGGCATGTGAATTATATCTCAATAAAACTGTTAAAGAGGCTGGGTGCGGTGGCTCACGCCTGTAATCCTACACTCTGGGAGGCCAAGGTGGGAGGATTGCTTGACCTCAGGAGTTCAAGACCAGCCTAAGCAAGAGCGAGACCCCGTCTCTACTAAAAATAGAAAAATTAGCCAAATAGAGTGGCACATGCCTGTAGTCCCAGTTACTCAGGAGGCTGAGGCAGGAGGATTGCTTGAGCCCAGGAGTTTGAGGTTACAGTGAGCTATGATGATGCCACTGCATGCTAGCCTGGGCGACAAAGAGTGAGACTCTGTCTCAAAAAAAACAAGCAAACAACTGTTAAAGGAAAGAGAAGGCAAAATGCCTAACACATAAATCTTAAATATTACCGAGAAGTCCAGTCGGTGGTGGGGGGGGGCCGGAGCCTGGTGTCGGAGGGCCCGGGAGGTGTAGAGCTGATAGCCCATAATACTTTCACAGGCTCATGAAAATGTTTTAATTTCCTTTGGAATCAGAAGAAAAAAAACAAAAACCTTTCAGGTGAAGAAAATGTTTCATACTTAATACATTCATCTTTATACCAATATGGTTGGAAAACAATTTTGAGTTTTTAAAAAAAATTTTAAAATCTAAAAATTAATTTAGCAAGGGCCCACGAAGGCAAAAGTTCACAGGGCTCCCCCAAGTCTTACTGTGGCCCTGGACGGCTGGTCTGAGTTTGGCTATTACATTTCTCCCCTCCAGCTTTTGAGGAAGCAATGTAGCATTAAAGGAAGTTTAAAATAATTCATTCAAAATCCGTCTGCTCTAGCACAGCACTTATTTACTTTTCTCTCTCTCTCTTTTTTTTTTCTTGTTAATCCTTCCTTCCAATTCTTGGGGGTCAGCAAGCATCTCTTTCAGCGGGTTATGATCTCGGTACTAGCAGTGTGCATCCAAGAGTCACGCGTGGTGGGGACTGGGCGCGCCACAGGAAAAGGCCAAGGCCCCGGGAGCCCGTGTTCCAGGCCGGGGAACAGCACGTGCAAAGCCTCGTGGTGGGAGGGAGCGCGGGGCGCACAGGAGCCGGGCCAGGGGGGAGCGGGACGGGGGCGTGGCTGGACAGGCCCGCGTGTGTGGCATTCGGACTTGACTTTTTTTGGGCGACATCAAGGGTTTCCAGCAGGAGCAAGCTGTGCGTGCGTGCATGTGTTTGACATGACCAGAGCCGTGCATTTTGAAAACATCCCTCCAGCCGCAGCGTGGAGAGAGGATGGGGCGGAGGCCAGAGCGGAGGCCTGGGGAGGCCGGAGGGGTGCAGCCTGGGCTGGGGGGTGCATGGAAAGGGACCAGGGCTGTCGTGGGGGTGGGAGCGGGAGGACGGGCTGGGGGAGGGGGGAGTCGCAGGTCTGCCATCGACATTCCTGGGACGCCGAGTCTCTAGGAGTCGGGGTTAGAGAAAGATGCCCTCGTGTTGGGTGGGAGACGCTGGCTCGCTCCAGGGCTCACGGGGGTGGGGTGGGGGGTGGGGAGCAGGCAAACCCCGAAAGCCACGTGTCCCCTCGTATTCTGAAAGCCCTTCTTTTCTTTTCCAAGGTGAAACATGTCGCAGCTTCATCGACCTGGCCCCAGCGTCGGAGAAAGGTGAGTGTGGCCTGGCTCCGGGGTGGCAGCCCCAGCCTCTCTGGAGACATCGTCCCTGCCCTGGCGGCTTCTCACGGCCTGCGACGGTTTCTCCTCCGGCGTGCCCGGGTGGTGGCCCCGGAAGCCACACGTCCTGTTGCGAAGCCCTGAGTTTCCTGAGTGCGCGGTGGGGAGGGACAGGCTGGGGAGGGGGCCGCGTGCCTTCCCTGTCCGGCGGGCAGTCCCGGGAGGCGTTACCTTCCGCTCCGTCCGTGCACCTGCCACCTTGGGTGTGGTGGGTGTGTGGAAGTTGGGCTCGGGCCGGTGCCGTGGTGGGGTTTGCTTCCAGCTGTGGGGAGGGCCGGTCTGGTCCAGAGAGGCCTCACTGGGGTGCAGGGCCCTCCGCAGAGACTCTGAGCCCGTAGCAATGCCGAGAGCTGTGGGGCCAGTAGGTGGGTGTGAGCAGCAGGCCACGCCTCCAGCGGGGGACAGCAGTCAGGGTTAGGGTTAGCTGCAAGGAGTTGTGACCCGAAAGGACTGGCTTCAGTGAGGAAATTTACTTGTATCTCTTATAAAAGTTTGAAAGTAGGCCAGGCACAGTGGCTCATGCCTGTAATCCTAGCACTCTGGGAGGCTGAGGCGGGAGGATTGCTTGAGGTCAGCAGTTCAAGACCAGCTCGAGCAAGAGTGAGACCCCATCTCAGCAAAAAATGGAAAAATTAGCCCGGTGTTGTGGTGCGCGCCTGTAGTCCCAGCTGTTTGGGAGGCTGAGGCAGGAGGATCACGTGAGCCCAGGAGTTGGAGGTTGCTGTGAGCTATGATGATGCCACTGCACTCTAGCCTGGGCAACCGAGGGAGACCCTGTCTTAAAACAAAACAAAATGAAACAAAACACCAAACAAAAAGAGAGAGAGAGAGAGAGAGAGAGAGAGAGAAAGTGAGAAAGTATAGGTGATCTAGGTATGCTCTGCTCCGTGAAGTCCTCAGGATCTAGGCCCCTGCTGCCGTTTCCGTGATCCTGTGGAATAGTTTTCATAGTCTAAAATGGCTGCTAGAGTGCCAGCTATCACATCTGCATTCCAGGCAGCAGGATGGAGGAAGGGCAAAGAAGAAAGGGCAAAGATCTCGCGTCAACTCTAAGATTCCCAGACATTGCCCCACAACACCTGCCTGTATCTCCTTGGCTAGAACTAATCACATGGCTACACTCAGCTGTGAGGGAAGCTGGGCAGTGTGGTCTCTATCCTGGGCAACGCTGTGCCCAGCTAGCAGTCAGGGATTTTGATGTTATGGAAGAGCACAGAACAGACACTAGACGGTAGCCTGCCAGAGGGACATAGGGGCGTGTGGCCGCCTCCCCGCCTGCCACCCAGGTGCCCCTGCCACCCAGGAGAAAGGCTGCTAAGAGAGAAACAGGTGTGCAGGTTTCTTCCAAGAGCCTGGAGATCAGGAGAGGGCTCTGGGCCTGGGAGTCGGGGGAGGGGAAACTGAGGCAGAAGTCCAGTCATGTAACTTGTCCAACATGGAGAGTGTGGGGTGCTCGGCTCAGGGGAAATGCTGAAGTCCAGCATGCGTGCCCACCCATGCAGCCTGCTGGTGGGACAGAGCCGTGTTTTCACTCCCAGGCAGTCAGCGAAGGCAGAGGGGCCAAGGGCCACGTGTCATGGGGGCAGGTGACGGTCCCGTCTTGCAGATGCCATCTTCACCAAGCGCCAGCTGAGTGGCAGCTGGGGAGGCTGAGGGGAAAGTGACAGGGAACCCACTGGGCGCTCAGCCCCAGAGAGAGGCCAGGGCCCCCTGAGCAGCTCTTGGCGGGAGGGGACTGCCTCTGTGTCCCCGACTTCCCCGTGGCTGGGCCCGTTTGCTTCCTGCATGTGGACGTCTCTGAGCATTCGACGGCTCAACTGGGCCACGGCTTCCAAATCACCGTCTCCAGGAAAGGCTGCTGCTGGCGTTGGCTACCACTGGCCGGCGTTCCCCCCAGTCGCTGCGCGCCGGCCCGTGCCGGGCATTCACGTGTGTTGACTGAGGAAGCTCGCGAGGAAGGGGCTGTCGATCTCAGTCCCGCTGGGCAGAAGAGGAAACGGGGGCTTAGAGAGCTTAAGCCACGGAAGTCCCCGCCTCCTAAGGGGCAGAGCTGGGTCTGACCCGGACCCAGGCTCCACCCTCTGTCGCCCGCAGCCCTCGCCCGTGCACATCCCACGGTCCCCGTGGCCTTGGAGCTCCTGGGTTAGCCCTGCTCCAGGTCTGGCTTCCAGGAAGCAGGGCCTGTGTGCGTGCACGTGTGTGCGCGTCCCGGTGAGGGTACGTGTGCACACGGGCAGGCGCTCCTGTGTGCGTGCACATGTGTGTGCGCGTCCCGGTGAGGGTACGTGTGCACACGGGCAGGCGCTCCTGTGTACTAGCACAATGGAGGGTGAGCTGCGCGAGCATGCATGGGAGTGGAGGAGAGTGCACATATGTGTACATGTGAGCGCAGGTGTCTTTTGTGCCTGTGTGTGCATGTGCACAGAAGTGTTCAAGCGTGAGTGCGCACGGGTATGTGCCCATGTGTGTGCACACGTGGATGCGTGTACACGCGTGTGAGTGCGTGTGTGAGCGCAGGTGTCTTATGTGCCTGTGTGTGCACGTGGACAGAAGTGTTCAAGCGTGAGCACGCACGGGTGTGCCCACGTGCGTGCACATGTGGATGCGTGTACACGCGTGTGAGTGCGTGTGCGTGCCGTGTATGGTGGCAGGCGGGTCGCTTGTGCTCCTCCCAGGAGGCGCCAGGCCTTCATTCCTGCTGCTTTTATGAGGACCGAGGGCCCCAGGGAGCTCGTATCGTTGCATTTTACTGGCCTCGTGATTTCTCTTTGGGGCTTGGCGGCGCACGGAGAACCTTCTGGCTGTGTGTATAAAGTGTTTACAGAGAGGCCGGGCGGGCTGGCCTTGCCAGCCAGGGGTCCACCTCCTCGCTTCCCGGACGCTGTAGCTTTCGCCGTGTGGCCCGCACGCAAGCACCTGCAGGGATGGGGGCACTGCTGGGTCCATCCGTGGGCACACGGCGGGGGCTATGTGTGGAGTCTCTGTTTCACAGACGAGGGACCCGGGGGCAGAGAGACGGAGTGACTTGTTTGCAGCCACTCTGGAGCCAGGCGTGTTCCCACCCGAAGAGGGTGCGCGCCCCGATTCTGGCCCCTGTGGTGGCTCCCCGTCACTTCCCCCTGCGTCCTCCTGGTCGGCCGAATACGATAATAATGACGACAACAGCACTAGCGGGCCTTCATGCACTGCACGCCCTGCGCCAGGCGCTGTTCTGAGACCGTCGCACACATTGGCTCATGTAATCCCCGTTTTACAAATAAAGAAACTGAGGCTCAGAGTGACCACATAGCTAGGAAGCGGGGGAGCTGGGATGTGCACCTGAGCAGCCTGACTCTTAAACCCCTGGTCCTTCTGCTAAAAAGCTGGGCCTCCCAGGGCCTTGGGGGTACGCCCACCATCCTCACCACGCCCTCTGGCAGGGTTCAGCCTAGCGCTTCCTTCCTGTCGGAGCTCTTCCCACCTGGCACAATTCCAGGCCCTTCTCAGGGGCCACCTCCTCGTTCCCATTTTCTCTGCTATCCTCCTGCCCCTCCCCACCCACGCTCTCCCACCTGGCAAAATGTTTGTTTGTGCTCAGTGTTTCCTACCACGGCTCGATGCACTTGGCGTTGTTTGTCTGGCTGCCTTGGTTTGTATTTCACGTGGGGAATATCTTGTTTGTTTTACCGTTGCCTGAGCCACAACCAATTTTTATCTGGATTCCTGCCACAATCTCGTAAATGGTCGTCTCCTTCCATTTTTGTCTCCTGATTGCTTTGGTATCCCAAAGGATTGTTTTAAAGCATAAATCATGTCATGTGAATCCCGAGTTTAAAGCCCTTCCGTGGCTCCCATCTCACTTGGGGTAAAAGTCAGCGTCCTCACTGTGGCCTACAAGGTCCTGTGTGACCCGGCTCTGCACTTGGGCTCTCATCCCCTTCCATCTCCCCACCCCATACTCCGGCTCTCCAGAATCCGTGCTGTTCCTTGGGCCAGCCAAGCTAGCCTGTACCTCAGGGCCTTTGCACGTGCTGTTCCCTGCTCCCGAACACTGTTCTCTCAGTTCTCTGCATGGCTGGTCCCTTCTCATTGTTCAGGTTTGGGTTTACATGTCCCATCTTTTAGGGAAGTTTTCCTTGAACATTGTGTTTCATGCTCTCCCCCTCCAGTCCCTCTCCGCTCCCTTCACCTGTTCAATTGTTTTCCTGTTGCTTACTCCCACCTGAAATCATCTTATTTATTCGGTGGCTATATGATTAGTGGTCATTTCTCCCAACAGACTGTCAGCTCCCTGTGGGCAGGGATTTTGTCTTGCTCAGGGCTCACTGTCTCCCTAGTGCTCGGAGCAATGCCTGGCACCGATTAGTGCTCCAAAATGCTTGTGGAATGAATGAAAAATGAATATTGACTCTAAACATCCTTATTAAGGATAGGAAAAAACCAGAGCGTTTTTGCTAATCTCACGCTCCACTTAACCCACCGCTTCTAACGCCAGATGTGTGTGGGGTCCCCCACACCAGGCAGTGCTGCAGCGGACGACAGTGGGGCGTCCTCCACCTGGAGACACGTCGGATCTCACAGGTCACTGTCAGTCCCACAGGCAGCCCGCCACTGCTGAGGCCGGTCGCCAGCGCCGGGTTGCCCTGCGTGCTGCTCACCGGCCGGTTCCCGCGGCCCCTCCGTGGGTTCGGTAAATAGGCGAGAGTGGCTCTCGGAACTCCGAGGAACGCTTACGTTTTCTGTCTGGCTGGATCCATCTGCAGCAGACACCCCTGACCAAGTAACTGCATCGAGTGAGTGTTTACTGTGTGCGAGGAGCGGCTTCCAGAAGCTTCTTCCTCTTTCTTTAGCGTCCTTTATGCACTCGTCTTCCTGCAACCACCTTCCCGTCGTCTGTGTTCCTCAGTTTCTCCCGCACGTTTCTAACCTCGCTCCACGCGTTCCCTGCTGCAGGG